CATTGTACTTCATTTCCTTTTTTTTAAAATACTTTTTTTTGTCTGAATTTTTTTATATTTTAAACTATTAATTTTGATAAGTTTTTCGGATAATATTTTCGGTTGCCACGTGTCACTATTTATTATAAAATTATCACCTAAAATTTCAGATAACATTTTCTGATAAAATTTTTGAATTAAATTTTCAGATAAGATTTTTGGTTGCCACGTGTCCATCATTTTTCAGAAAAGATTTTCGAATGAGATTCTCGGTTGCCACGTGTTTTATTTCAGATAAAATTTTCAGATATTTATTAAAAAAAATTATAATCTCAAATTTCAGATAAGATTTTCACCCACTAAAATTGCGCCACGTGTCCCATGTCAGATAAGATTTTCATATTTTTTTACAAAATTATAATCTCATATTTCAGATAAGATTTTCACCCTCTAAAATTGCCCCACGTGTCATCTCTATCTTCTGAATCCCTTTATAAAACTACACCATCAACTCATACCTCTCACACCATATCTTATCTATTCCTTCATTTATGAGATTTTACAAAACACATTCTACTCTCAATGTCAAACTTGAGGAGGGTGTAGGAGAGGCAAGAGCGAGAAGAGGAAGAAATCTAGCGCAGACGTGCTGAGGAAGATCGGGAGGCCGATGAAGAAGAGAAAGAAATGGTTGTAGCGGTGTGTATGCTTAATGAATCAAGGCAACACCACCGTCGTCATGCCCCGAATGTGGACAGACGTAGGCAGTCTCAGGGTAAGAATCTCTTGGAAGATTACTTTATCCCAAATTCGTTATATCCTATTTCTAAGTTTTGAGAGAGATATAGAATGCAGCCACATTTGTTCCAAAAAATCATGCATGATATTTGTAATTACGACACATACTTCATTCAGAAGTATGATGCTGTTGGAGTTCTGGGTCTTCTCCTGGAGCAAAAACTTACAGCTGCTTTGCGGATGCTTGCTTATGGGGCATTTGCAGAGCAGGTGGATGAGATTGCAAGGATGGGAAAATCAACTATCCTAGAGTGCTTGGTGAGATTCTGTGATACAGTAAAAAATCTCTACACGAGGGAGTACCTTCGCAAACCTACTCCTTGGGACCTCCAAAGGCTTCTGCAAAAAGGTGAGGCTCGATGTTTCCCAGGAATGATTGGAAGCATCGATTGCATGCACTGGCAGTGGAAGAATTGCCCAACAGCTTGGCAAGGAGACTATGGAAATCGAAAGGGCCAAAAAAGTATAATTCTGGAGGCCGTAGCTTCATTCGACACTTGGGCTTGGCATGCCTTATTCGGAGTTGCCGAATCTCAGAATGACCTCAATGTGCTTGGTCAATCCCCGGTCTTCAACGATGTATTGCGAGGTCATTCCCCCCAGATCACGTACCAAATCAA